AGCTATAATCGAACCGTTGACCTCGTCTGTGGAGGATTAGGCGCCTAGACCACTAGGCTATGGGACCCTAACCCAATGATTACCTTATTAATTATTTTATATTAGAAACTTTAATTAATATATTAAACAAAATATAATATACAATTAGATTAAAATATATAAATTTTAAAAATTTGCTAGTATACTTTATAATAAACTCTTTCCGATGATCACTAAAACCAAAATTTCCCAAACAATTTTTGTAAAAACAGTAACTAGTAAGTAATAAAAAGCATAAAACTGGAAGCTATAAGTCAGCAGTTGTTATTTAGAAGTAGTTCTCATATGCTACCTGTTAACTTCTTCAGAGTTTATTACTCACTGCTAGTACGGCACTTGTCGTTTAGAAGTAGTTCTCATATGCTACTTGCCAACAAGTTCAGAGTTTATTACTTACCGTTTAAGTACAGTGGCTCTTCCCCTTTCTTAGAAAAAAAGTTACTAGTCGTCAGTTCTTTCAAGGATAAAATACTCTCTTTGGGTGGCAGTGGTCCTTTCTTTAAGTTTCTCTTGGTCTTGTCAGTTTTCTCCAAAATTTTCGACAAAAAGTGGGCGATTTGGCTTACTCCCTCCAAAAGATTAGCATTGTTTATCTCCCAAATTCGGACGTACCCAGGAATGCAACCATGTGCCTTGTTTATCAGTGAATATAATACACAACGTAGTCTATGAATACGGGTCCTCCACGTGACTAAGATCGGGTCTCTGGTAAGAGAGATATCCAAAGATAGTCGGTAGTCGGATAAAAATTGTTAGGTTTTATAGTCGAGATATACAAACGTTGCAGTTGTTATAAAATTTTTTCTTAAACCTGGCACGGGTTATTATAGTGTACTTTCCCTTTTGTTGTAGTAATTAAAAAATTATAAAAAAAAATCACTAATTAGCATTTATTGAATATTATTTACTGTAGAAGTTTCAAGATTGTAGCTTTTTTATTTAAAAAGTTAACAGGGTAAAGATTTTTATGACTTTAACTATAAATAAGATATTAGTGAAATAAAGATAAATACAATTTTTTTATCATATGTTAATCTTTAGTTCTGATTAAAATTTTTATTTATTAAACCCAAATTATTTAATTTTTTATTCATTATATTTCTAACATCATGTTATGTATTGGTTTGTGAATAAATATTTATAATTATAAAACAATTATTTTTTAAAAAAATATCTCTTTGCATTGTTACAATATGGCTGAAATATGTGAACTTGTAATATTGCAAAAAGAAAACCTAAAATTAGTAGTTAATGATTATCTAATAGTAAAAGAAAAAGTAATTAGAAATACTTATTATTGGTGTTGTAAAAAGAAAAAGTCAGAGTGTTGTAAAAGTTAAGCAATTACTATGTTTTCAGATAATTTACACTATTTTAAAAAATTTGTTAAACATGATAATCATACTTCTCAAGCTGTACTGGTTAAAAAATCATTTTTTAACTAAATAATAACTAGTTATTTCTAGTACAAATAATAACTTATTTACTCTTATTTACTATATAATTACTAGGTAATATATGTATTTAAGCATATTAGCTAAAAATATATTAAACTACAAAAAATCTTGTAATTATATAATAAATAAGTTATTATTTGTACTAGAAATAACTGGTTATTATGGTTATTATTTAGTTAAAATATGTGTTTTTTAACCAGTACTAATTGTAGTGAAGTTACAAAAGTTATTGCTAGTATTAAATATCAAGCTCATGAAACTAGAGATACACCTTCTCAAATTATTCAAGATAATATTGCTACTATTCTATTAAAACTTTCTTCTTATATACCTACATATGAAGCTCTTTATATGAGAATTAAACAGATCAGAAGTGCCAAAGTTCTACTATAATCTCAGACTCTTGAAAAAATTGATGTTTCAGTTTTATTACATTTAACTTTAAATGGAGATCTGTTTTTAATAAAAGATTTAAATATTGAACAAAATAAAATTATTATATTTGCAACAAAAACCAATATACAACACTTATTCTAGGCACCTTACTGGATCATGAATGGTACCTTTAAAATAGTTTTTACTATTTTTAAACAAATTTATACTATCCATGCACCTATTGGCACAAATAATAATTCTCAAGTTTTTTGCACTAGTATATGCTTTGATGAGTGAAAAATTAGAAGAACTTTATATTCATCTATTTCAGACTTTGATCGATTTTGCAAAGGATAACAATTTTCAACTTAACTTACAAACTATCATTATGAATTTTGAGCAAGCAGCAATTTGTGTATTATCTAATATATTTCCAGATTAAATATTCTAAATTTTTTAAATATTAGTTTAGTTTTTATATAATAATTTGAAAATACTATAAATTTTTAAATAGCAAGTATAAATTTTTAATTTGAATTAAAATTAATTTAAACTAAATTTTAAAATAATATTTATACTTGCTATTTTAAAAATTTACAGTTCTATAAAAAAAATAATAACTAAATTCTTTTTTATTATTTAGGTGTTATAAATAAAGGATGTTTTTTCCATCTTGAAAAAAATTTATAGAAAAAAATACAAAAAGCAAAATTAGTAACTAAATATGAAACTGATCTAGATTTAAGTGAAAAATTATAATATTTACTTGTCTTGGCATTTCTTCTATCTAAAGAAATTCTTGCTGCATTCAATATTTTAAAAAAAAAATACCACCAATTGCTCATAAAGTTGTAGAATGATTTGAAAACACTTATACTCTTGGAAAAGTTTGAAAAGAGTTTTTTTTATTTTTTTTAAATATTAAGGTGACCACTTAGGCCCTTGACATTTTATTAGTACAAGCGGTAGGCCAATGATAATTTTAGCACCGGCTTTACATATTTTATCAGTATCACGAGAGTACAACTAGTCACATATACAACTTTTGATTGCC